GCACCGTACTTTCTTTGGCCAAATTGTTAGGCACTTTCTCGACTACATACTTAGTTGCACTGTTCATGCTAAATTGTGGTTCATAGGGATAAAAATGCAAAAAAACGTTGGTTTTTCCATACTAATTTCCATACAAATTTCAAACGCAATGCGGAAAGCCGAGTTACAACCAATAGTCCCCAAATTTTATACAGTTGTTTGGGACTCCAAATGGAACCAAAAAAGGGTTGTTCTCGATTGATGAGGTAAAGTTTGCATTTTTCCATATAACGATGACGCACTCTAGTCATTATGGATTTAATCTGCTCCTGGCGTAGCCATTTAGGACAGTCGCTGCTACCTGTTATATGTGTTTTCTTGCAGGGAATTTGCTTTTTTGTTAGCAATTTTCGTAGATTTCGTCTTCGTGTCGATCTCCAAAAGTGTGACATCTTCGGAAGCTCTTACAGTTTTCCGCTTTATGGCTGTATCTCAGACACTTTTTGCAGAAAACAACCTTCTGTACAAAAGGTTGAACTTTGCTCAGGCAAAATAGCTTCACTTTGTCTGACAGCCGTCTTGCCCTGAAAGTGATGGATACTCTCTTTCCATATAAGAAGAAGAGGTCTCCTCTGGCTTTTTACTCTTTTATCTCTATCTCTATCTACACACTTAGTTTTTTATACCGAGCTCGGCTGTGCAAATCTCGGCAAAAAAAAGTTTTACTGAGATCTCAGCAAACATTTATTTTGTTTGCTGAGATTCAGCTAAGCATTATCCGAGACTCAGCAATCAAAAATGTTACTTTTCTTGAGATCTCAGTGAACCTTTTTTTGCCGAGATTTGCACAGCCGAGCTCGGTAGAAAAAACTAAGTGTGTATATTTATATCTCTATCTCTATCTTACGCACTTCAAATCGGCCAATCACGAACTGGTTCGCGTTTGATATAAAAGTGGTTCGTTTTTGCCCCCGTATTGTCTCCTATTTCTCTTAGCTAAACATCGACAATTGGGACATCACTTTAAAGGTCTGTTAGGTTTTCCTTGGTAGTGATCACCGGCAATGATTACTCCAGATATGCAAACTACACGCTCATGTACATACCGATTTCATTGTTGATGTGTTTGACGATAGCGTGTAGCTGTTGAAAACTACCATGATCTTCGGAGACGAACCAAGGCTGAAAGTCTGCTTAATAAATATAACTAACTAACTAACTATGATCTTGTTCCTTCCAATCTGCTTCATATCGATTATGTGGTTTTTGTACATCGGTACACCGCGCAGCTTTGATCCCAGTGAATACTTGTTGATTCGTCCTCCTTGAAGTCCACCTCGAAGCTCGAAGTAAACTCGGTATGGAGCGTCGTCCTTGACGGTGTATTCGGATTTCGCCCGTTGTATGTTTTGTTCTCCGTCATCTTTTTTTCTTCATGTTTCCCTCCGGTATCCGGAGGATCTCCCATCCCTGTCATAACCTCACTTTGATTCGCCTTTTCCCACCAAAATGGCGTCCGTTTCTCCTTGGTAGGCTTCCGAAATAAACACTCATATTCTTGTTTTCGTTCGAATCGTATTTTCCATACACAAAAGTTGTTTGTATGGAAAATACGGTTCGAACGTAAACAAGAATATGGGTGAAACACTCTAGCTCTATTTTAAATCACTGCTTTTTCTTTTATTTCACTATTTCTCCAGAGTTTGTGAAACGCTCCTTCTTTACTATCCGATTTAATACAAAAACAAGTAACCCAAGTAACAATTTCGGTTTTATAAGGGTTCTGTATACCATGATGATGGTCGTTTATCTTTTTTCATGTATTATTCGGAAGATTAGCTGATTAGCAACTGTTCAAAAACAAAATAAATAATATCCAGTTGATCAACAATTTCTGTCCATCCGTTATTTGTTTCCTAAACTTCAGTTTGATCATGATCATAAAATCATTAACTGTTAAAAAATTAAAATAACGTTTCTCAGATACTCTCCCAAGATGGTGAAAGATTGACAGCTCACAAAAACTACTGAGCATCCAGCAAAATATTTCAAATCACTGAACATGGTGTAGTAGTAAAATTTACGATTTTTTTGGTTTAAATATTTCAATTGGTTAGCCTTTGGCTCTTCATCTTTGTTCGAGTTAATTGATTATTCTAATGTTATGATTGCGTTTAGCGCTATTTTACAGGATACCCTTTTATGGGATTGTTTTCGTTTGAATTTAAAAAATTGATAACCTACCTACTTGAGGAACTACCTAACTATTTAAACTAGGTTGCCAAATTACGAATGATCTGGTGGTTTGATCGACTGATTGACAGGCGACTCTGAACCTTTCCAGCGTGGAAGTCTTTCGCTCCTCGAGTGTTTGAAGCCCGGCCAGGTGGTGAATCTCAGAATTACGAGTTCGCGGTGGACTGTTGAGGATCATTCTGAGGATCTTGTTTTGGATCCTATGAAGCTTTAGGTGGTGGCACTTAGCACAACTCTCCCAGATTGGCTTACCATACTAAATAGCCGGCAGAATGATCTGCTTGTGGACAGCAAGCTTGTCTTTGAGGGACAGGGTGGTCTTCCTGTTTATCAGAGGGCAGAGCGACCTGATCAAGATGTTGGATGTCTTGTCCACATGGGATCGGAATAGCTATTTGCTATCGAGGGTGAGACCAAGGTAGACTACTTCACTCGACCATTCAATGGGAGTGCTATCAAGATCGATCTTGACGTTAGCAGGAGGAACAAGCCGAGGTGAATTCGAATGTGGAAACAGAATGGTTTGTGTTTTAGCTGCATTGATACAAATCTTCCAGCTCTTGAAATAGTCGGACAGAACATCCAGGCCTGATTGTAGTTCCAGGCAGGGGAGGAACGTCTTACGTGAAAATGTTGAGTAGGATAGGCCCAAGCAGGTTACCCTGAGGGAGCCCTGTATCAACGTTGAACGTATTAGAGGGGACATTGTTCAAGTAGACCTGGAATGATCTGCCCGACAAGTAGTTTTTGATGATCTTCACGAGGTAGATCGGAAAGTTGTATCGATGTAGCTTGTAAACTAGACCATCATGGCAGACATTGTCGAACGCCTTCTCGACGTCCAACAATGACATGGCAGATGTATTGGAAACGAACTTATTCCGCTTGATGATGTTAGTAACCCGTGCGAGTTTGTGGATGGTAGAGTCACCGACAAACCGACATGAATGCCCATAGCAAAAACAATAAAATTTCTGACCAAAGCACACTACTGACATCTGGCTCCGTGTTTGCGGGAAATATTCAGCTAAGCCATGAACCCGCATGTAAAATTTATGAATTGGTTCGTGTCTGATCTATTCTGTATACATTATTTTTATCTAGATCAAAAAATCCTATGGTTTTGACAGATCGGATCACTGCACATTTAAATCGGCCGTTTACTATTTTCGGGCATAAGTCAGAATTAAGTGTCATGTCGGTTTGTCGGTGGTAGAGTGGCCTTTCCTAAACCCGAATCGCTCTTTGAGAAAGATGTTATTATCATTTGAAAACACCGGCAGACGGCTGAGTATCAACTTTTCAAATAGAGAGGCTGATGGGGCGATAGCTTTTGGCACTGGTAGGATCTTTGCCAGGCTTGTGTATTCACAGCGAATGAGAACGACCTAAATTTGAGTTTAGTTCACTCATAATCGCCAAAAGTGCAGGAACTCAGCGATGAGTAAATTTTGTCTAATGGTTTCCTGTGGAAAACCTAAAAAATCTGCCGGAAAATGAGGAAATTGACGAAATTTTTATTCAGTCTCGGAGTAGTACCAATAGACTGAGTGAATCCAATCTTTTCTTTTTTCAAATTTGGGAATTTTTCCCTGGAAAATCCTGGAAAAAACATGAGGCAAATTTACTCATCGCTGAGTTCCTGCACTTTATGTGATTTATGAGTTGACAAAACTCAAATTTGGGTTGTTCTCATTCGCCGTGTGGGAATCACTTTGGCTAACTAGCCAAGCTCCAAACATTTGTTGCAGATAAGGGTAAGATGTTTGAAGAAGTCAATACACTAGTTTTTCTGCTCAAAGTTGACTACACCATCCATACCCGCGACCTTTATGTTTTTAGTGCTTCTAATAGCTGCTATCACCTCATCAGCCGATGTTCTACCACAGACAAACAGACGTAACTCTTTGAAAAACTTGTTCTTGAAAACATAGTATCTCAAAACATATAACCTCAGTAACGACATCTATCTGGCTTCTCGCGGAAAACAAGCTTGCTCGCTAACTCGTAAACAATATTGCATAAAATTTCTATAGAATATATAGAAACGTCGAAGTGATCCGATGCCAGCGCTGCGGTGAGTAGTTCGCGGAACTGATAATATTCAAATCAACCGTTAAATGCATGAACGAAGATACACAATGAAGAGTTACGTCTGTTTGTCTGTGGTTCTACTATCATCATGCACTACTACGGGGGTTTAAACAACTCTAGACATTACCTCCAGTAAGGCAGGCTCATAAGGGCTCACTATGGCACTGAACATGGTGAAGACACACACTGGTTATATATAATAAATTTTGGGTGATTTTGTCTTTATTAATTGTGAATTTGAATCAACAATCTTTTATAGACGCTGCAAGCTCCCAGTGAAAACAAATTCGATTTACTGAGTTTATTTAGCAATATGCTGCCAAATGTCAACATTTTAAATTGCTGAAAAATCAGTAAAAAAATATAGCTGAAATCATATTTTGCTGATAATATCATAGCTGAAATATAATTTTGTCATTTAGACAGGTGTTGGAATTGTTGCAAGATTCAGCAGAATTATTTTGCGTGAAAGTATGCTGATCTTCCATCAAGCCCAAAATCAGCTAGATGTGATGTATAGGGTGGATACAACTCCGCCGGTGAGTTTGACGACGGAGAAAACTGCCCAACACTGCCGAACGCAAACTGCCACTATTTTAAAATAAAGGCATCACGAACACCCATAACTCTTAAACCAACAATTCAAATAAAAGAAGAAATGCTCTGCCCAACTTACAGCTGCAACAGTTTATTTCCCCTTGAAAGTTAACTTGACAAAAATACACCACTTCAAATCGGTTCCGGCAGTGTTTCATCGCGATACCGTATCCAATATTCCTGCAACCGTCGCAACCAAAGTGCCCAATACTTTTTCAGTTTCACTGAATTGATTAAATGCACGTGTGCCGGATCGCCCGTCGTATAAGCCACAAACACTGCTCCATCGGTGATTTCCAATCCGCTGAATTCCGGCTCCGTCTTCAATGCTCCCAGATAGGCACACAGCTGAACGGGTGCATCGTATGTTGCTGACAGAGAAGATTTCTGTTTCTCCGATGTTTTCCACTCGATGATGTGGAGTTTTTTGCTGAAAGTGAAAAAGTTAATTAATTAGCTAAATATTAAATTCATATTTCAATTTATACTCCAGTGATGAGATGCAATCCACAACTCCGTTGTAATGCAAAAACGGATGGTAGATCTTCCTTTCAATCACCCGAGCCGGTCTTTCAACTCTCTCCAGTGATCCGTGGATACTGGTCCACAACTCCCTAGCCTTATCCAGCCTTTCGCGATCGATTTCCTCATTATTGAGCCAACTTTCCAAACACGAGTGTAAATTGCTGCCTCTTTCTAGCGTAGCCTTTTGAAACTCCGCGAAACCTTCTTCCCCTAGTAGAGCAATCTTGGATGCCTTCCACTTGAAAAGAGCTTGTCGGGCTGCCTCCGGCATTGTTGAACTCAGAATTTTGCTCACCGAGGGCGATTTGTACTGATCTGTTTCAAACTGCTCGTGGCGAGTCCACGTCCTCTCCAGTGTACCATTTGCCGTAGGAACAAGCGGGAATGTCAGAACTGATCTCAGTTCCTTATCACTGAATGGTATGGTCAGTCCGTGCGACGGCGGCGAATGATTGATGTGAATTTTGCTGTCGTTATTCGAGGATCGAATGTGTTTCCTAAAAGGATTTTCACTTTGTAACAACCAGTGCATTTCGGAAGCACTTTCAGTTTGATTTGATTTAGATGGTTTGAGTGGTGCAGTTGCATCATTCTCCTTCTTGACAACGGCCCCAAAAAGCGCCTTATTCTCATAATTTAAATTTTTGACCGCGCGTCCTTTCGCAGTTAGGTTCTTTGGTTTTGGTTTAGTCTTTTTGATTGCTGTGGCAAAGTTTCGGATTATTATGGATTTGAACATATCTGGCATATCTGGGGATACAAGTAGTTTTAATACACAAAATAATTTAATATATTTTTAAAAACTTACCAATTTATTGTTGTACTATATCAATATTAGTATTGCTGCAATGCCGGCGCCGTGATATATGACCAAAGAGAAGAACATAAACAAAACAAACGCTAACGTTTGTATAGTGGAGATGCGTTAGTCGCGAGGGCAGTGTTTCGTGTTTTGAAAAGCAGATGGTTCTGCTAACGTATAATGCCCTATTGGAATAACATCCTCAACTGATTCCCGAGGCGCACGCAATACAAAGAACCGGTGCGTTGAAGTTAAAATGCAATCAAGTGTACTCATTGGCGTAACTAATGGGGGTGCCATGGGGCTAGGCCCCCTCCAGAATTTTTGGTGTTTGTTTTTGACTCACCGATATTTTGTCAAGCTTGTTAAGTTCAATTCTAATATTTAGCAGTTATTCATAATATTGGACCACCAACAAGTAATTTTTAAATTCCATAATGTTGATTACTTTTGTTATATTCTGGACTAGAAGAAACAATTTTGAGAAATTATATTATATCAACTCGATGGCAATAAGACGTCTTCAGGCTCTACAAATTGGCCATGAGCCCAGGATTTTTTCTTTAACTTGTAGAAACTTCGTAAAAAATCGTAGAAATTAAGCAAACTTGGTAGAAATTCTGGGAAATTTATAGACCTTCAGAAAAATTCGTAGAAAAAAAAGAACTTGGAAAAGTTCTGAAAACTGCGTAGAAGTAGAGAATTCATTTAAATTTGAGGACTTTCGTAGAAGTTAAAGGAACATTATTTTATTTTAGGGAAGCTCATTATTGATCGGGAATCTTTACATAATTTCATAATTTTTTTTAGCCTCATGGACTTGGAATAGTTGTGGAAATTCAACAGCAAACTTTGTAGAAGATTTTCGAATTTCATAGCATTTTGAGGAGCTGCGTAAAACTTCATATACACACTTAGATTTTTTTTTGCCGAGATGGGCACCACCGAGCAGCTCGGCAATCTATTTTGCTGAATCGCAGTTAAAAATTTGCCGAGATTCAGTTAACAAAGGGAAATTTTGCCGAGATCTCGTCTAACAAACATAAATTTTGCTGAGATCTCAGTAAAAATAAATGCCGAGCCTGCTCGGCGGTACCAATCTCGACAAAAAAAATCTAAGTGTGTAAGTGTAAGGAATTTTAAAAAAGTTCAGGGATTTTTTTAAGAGATCTAGAAATAGTTTAATAAACTTCTAAGAACTTCAGGGATCTTCGCTTCAGCTTAGGGAACTTCGTTGCAGTTTATCAGAGATCTTACTCCAAAAAAGCTCCATGAACTTCTTGGAGGTTTTGGGAACTTTGCTAAACTCAAGGAACTTTCTAGGTGTTCAAGAATATTTGTAGATGTCTTAGGTGTCTTTCCAGAAGTGGAAAGATGTTCAGTGATCTTTGAAGAATATAAAGAAATGGAAAAACATATGGAATTTGGAACAAATACAGGGAACTTCGAAGAAGTTGAGGAAATTTTGCAAAACCTAAGTTTTGTAGATGTTCAGGAAACGTTGCATAAGTTACAGGGTATTCTTTCAAACATCCTTCCTAGACATCAGGAAATATTCGAAAGATCTCCATATAGTCCAAGATATTAGTAAAGTTCACTGGATATTTGGCAGGTTGTAGGTTGATCAGAAAGTATTCAAAAGTTTTCCAGCTAACGACTAACGACGACTAACTGGCGAAGAAATCCATTAAAATAATGTGGTTCACTGTAATAGAATTTTCTTGGAAGCTTGTGCCATCATCCACCAGATGGGTTAGTTTTTTTGTTTTGATTTGAACAAAGTTGATTTTGTGTACAATGATTCTTTGACAGTGTGCAAAGAGTGTATCATTTTGTCATTTTTTTATGCATTTCAGTTTTGAGTAGAGTGAAAGAGATAGAACCAAAACATTCTAATACAATTGGTGAAATGCTAGTACAATCCAGTAGTAGCATAGAGGTAACTCTAAGACCACTGGGTCCCGAAGAAAATCATTATTATTTTTGGCTCACTCAGTACCAGAACAACGGTCCCAAGCAGTCCCAAGCTATTTCACTCACCCCTGCATGTTCTGCATGAATCCACACACCCCTGATGTTATCTGTCAAACTTTCATAGCGAATCAAAACAAACATAGTGTAGTAATAGAATTTCAACTAGAATAGGGTACGTTAATCGTTTGCTTGGGACCAATAGGCTACTAAAGTGGTGAGCCAATTTAAAATCGTTAGTTTCGTATTGATTGTTGGTACAATCCAGTAGTAGTGGTATTGCCATGTGGTACACTGAAAAATTGCAATAGTAGGTTAGTCATCAAAGTTTTCGAGCCGCTCCGTCTGTCACTTCGTTTGTGGTATAACCATCTAGTCGAAACTTTTTGGAAATTTGCCTGTTAAAAATCCTTTTGGGTTTCGAGAAAATAGGGCGGTATCAAGACTTAGACTTTGACTTTGGGTGTCTCAATTGCCGAATCAAGTTTAAAGCCTGGTACGCAGCTGAAAAGAAAACGGAAAAGTAATTTTTGAGGATTTTTCCCAAAAGAAAATTTGATAGCTATAGGCTGCTAAATTTTGAGATTATAGGGAGATGTCGTCAGATTGTAAAATCAACACTTATTAGTGTTTATGTTGTTTAAATGCATCCAAAACATCAGTTTTGCAATAAACGCCAACATTACCTAACGGAATAATTGATCAGACCATTATTCCGCAAGGAAAGTGAAATTGCATTCAGAATGCGCCACCTTCATGTCGATCACGATACTAATGTAATCGATCTTTCCTTTACCGATTTCTTTTGAACTGCGTACTGGGTCAAGAAATGCTGAGGAAAAGTAATTTCTTTTGCATTCCGTGTCCTATCCCGTAGCACGTAAAAACGTCATTACTTTTCAGCTGCGTACCAGGCTTAACTCGTAGTTAAGCCTGGTACGCAGCTGAAAAGAAAACGGAAAAGTAATTTTTGAGGAATATTCCCAAAAGTAAATTTGACAGCTATAGGGAGGTGTCTTTTGCTAAATTTTGAGATCATAGGTAGGTGTCGTCTAATTTTAAAATCAACAATTATCAATTTTTATGTTGTTAAAATGCATCCAAAACATCATTTTTACTACAAACGTTAAAATTACCTAACGGAATAATTGGTCAGACCATTATTCCGCGAGGAAAATGAAATTGCATTCAGAATGCGCCACCTTCATATCGATCACGAAACTAATGTAATCGATCTTTCCTTTACCGATTTCTTTTGAACTGCGTACTGGGTCAAGAAATGCTAAAGGAAAGTAATTTCTTTAGCATTCCGTGTCCTATCCCGTAGCACGTAAAAACGTCATTACTTTTCAGCTGCGTACCAGGCTTTAAAAGTGACATTTCGAAAGATAATTTCAATGTTCGAAAATTCCTGTGTTGACGATCGACCGGTTTTCGAACAGAACTCAGCTACAGTTGTCAAAATCTAACTTTTTGCCTGTCAAAAATAACCACGCTCAGATCAAGGGGGGAGGTGGCTGTCAAATACCAACAATCGTCGCCTACCTCGCAAAACTGGTTCAAAACGTAAACAAGCCATAATAATCCTAAATGGTTTGTTTACGTTTGGAACCAATTGCATACAAGAATGATCAGTAGGCTGATTTGACAGCACGTCCTCCCCCCTCCAGGCTCAGATAGCAGGGTTATTTGATAACTTTCTATCTGTCACTTTCAACCACACGGCCAATCAGAACGACTCAGTGACTAAATGCAATGCTAGATAAACATTTAAAAAGGCCCTATCTGCATTGATCGATTCTCTTCATCGACATTCTCTTTCGTCAATAACTCAGCTGCAAAACTTTTCCTTTATCAAACTATGTGGCTAAATTAGTGCGAAATCTGTTTGCATAGCAATGGTTATGAAAAAAAGTCGATGAAGGGAATCGATCAAAGCAGATAGGACCATTTGAAATGTTCATCGAGAATTGGGCAAGGTTGCAAAGACTCATTTCAGCTAAAATAATGTTTTTCGGAATAATAAAACCAAAAGATGGTATGATGGCATGTTTTACTTGTAACTTACAAGAAGAGGCTACAAAGTATGCGTTGGAAACATAAAACCTGTAAATTTTGCTTTCTATGAGTCACAATCAGCGATTTGCTGATCGCTGAGTGAGTGAGTGAGTGAGTGAGTTTGTGAAAAATCGCTGATTGTGACTCTCATGAAGTGAAATAAACAGGTTTAATATGTCAAACACATTCTTTGCAACCTCTTCTTGTATCCTACCAATTCAAAATTTGATCAGGGCATCTAATTATTTCATAATTTAGAAAAACATTGTTTTAGCTGAAATGAGTCTTTGCAACCTTGGAATTGGGTTGTTCGAAAAATATACCGATTTTTATACATCATCTGATAGTGTTTCGTTTTCTGAGCACATCGATGTTTTTATAGATTCCGATTTAAATCAAGATTTAATTTTTTGATCGTTGACACTAAATCTATTCGTTGACAGCTCGCTCCCATATAAAATCCCACCAAGGGGCACTAAGATGGTGATTTTTGCTAATGTAATCGTACTTATTTAAAATAGTTCCAGTGGACCAAAATTGAAGAATTTCTGGATTTCGGTTCCATTTTAAAGCAGATAACGATCAATATGTATTTACCTCAATACCCCTAAGCAACCCAATTATCTCAGAGCATTTCCCTAATAAAAATTGTATGGTTAATTTGCTTAACGACGTGTTCTGGGTATCATCCAAACCATTTGTGGAATAGTTCAATGATTTGGGTTATCGTTCGTTTATGGTTATTTTTATTAGGGTTTTTTTCCATACGAAATTTAGTTATATTTGGGAAAACCTGCAGTTACTCATTAGCTATGAGTTCCTGCCTAGGTTCATGCAGGTTTTCCCAAATATGAGTAAATTTCGTATGAGAAGAAAATGCTCTGAGTCAATTGAATTCAGTCGCAGAGTCGTTCTGATTGGCCGCCAGTTTCCCCTAAAGATTAATACATATCAACAACACTGTCGAATTAGTCTCTCTGCAGCCCGCGATCGCATAAATTCTCTTTGAACAATCGAGAGAGAGAGCATAACCACCCTCCATGCTCTCTGTTTTTCTTCGATTCCACTTTGCATGCTGCTTCCGTCTGCTCCGTCAGGCGACGTGCTGCGTTCCACAGCTGTTGAGTGTTGTAGGTAACCTACCTTTTAGCAAGCAAGCATGTTTTCCATCAACATAGGAAAAAAAAAAGCTTATGCTTTTATGCTACCGATCGCGCTAGGTCGTTCTCTCCCTCTCCAGGTTTCGTTTCCCTCGCGCGTGCAACAACATACGCAATCCAAGTGCCGGGTCTTTGGCGGCGTTCCATTCAGTTCAGTTGCAACCTTCGACCGGTTTGGATGTACGGCTGTCCATGCTGATTGTCCCTATACTTCTGTTAGTGAAACGCGCTCGCGGGTGATTTCAAGAGTGCTGTGTTTGCGCTTCTCGATCGCTTGTTTGCTGTAAGGATCATCGCTCGCTTTGATTGGAGTTTTTCTTTCACTCCGCTGTCGGCTCTTTGTGTATATTTCTCTGCACACACCTCCGAACTGCTCTTTGCATACAATGGAATTATTCTTGGTGGTGATTTATGGTCAAATTATGCGTTTTTCGCGACGAGCGATTGTGCGTTGCTAGTGAAAATCGAAAAATAAAAAAAACCGATGCTTGTTGTTATTTGCTTTTCTTGTGCGTTGTGTGTTGTTTGATGCTTTGCAGCGTGCAGTGCTATAATGGTGCCGACCGAAGATGAGATGGTTGGAGAAAATATGCCGCAGTGAAACTATACGGGAAAATTAAAATTAAACACACATTCATTCATAATTGCGTCCGGGACAAAGGAAGTGCCAAGACGGGTTTTTGGTATTCTGATGCCGCACCGTGCTGTTGGGAAAGGCGGAGCCATTTGCTGGAAAAAAATCGACCGAAGAAACGAAGAAACGAATCTAGTGAACATAGATAACAGAGTCACATGTGTTTTGTGTCGCTCTACTATTTTTTCCCCTCGAGCGTTTGAATGAGTGAAACTTGAATTTACTACCACGAAAAAAGTAGAACTCATGAAGTGCTGTAGGTTTATTTTTTAGCTGTGACTTGTAACGACAGTTTCGAAAATTATTCAGGAGAAGATCATCAATGTTTGTGGATTATAAAACGGTATTGGATAACTTGCTCTCCCTCACAAAACTCGTACTCAACACAGGGAACTGACGACAACTGTCATCGTAATTCCGGCAGAACATAAAGGTCGCATAGAGAGCAACATGTGTTGAAGCAAAAGACGGTAAGAAATTCGTTCGTTCATAAATGCATTACACAGAAACGTACCTTAGCTGGTGTGTACCGTGGAGTGCGGGGGAGGCAGAAATGGTAACACTTCGTCCAAATGGGATTTTGAGATGGTTTGCCTCGTCGTCATGACGGTTCCGTTAAACTAAGGGAAGAACAGTGATTTGTAGGGACAATAAATTAGCCATTGTTTACTCGTTATACTTTGGGACTTTTCTGTAGGGGTAAGGAGGTGTACGTGCAGCTCTACTTCTACGAACAGATGTTGCTACGAATATTTATTGAAGTAATAAAAGCATTAAGGGACAAGAGTTTCCAACACTATCTTCAATAAAATTAAGATCAAATGCAAAATTCTCATAAGCTCTCCTGAAGATTTTCCGAGAATCAAAAATTGATTCAGATTCTCTGGCAGTTTTGCGGTGAGCAGGTTGTATAATGTAGTCCAGAAGAGTTTTCAATTACTAATCCTGTTCCCTTCCATCAAAATATTTGTTTCATCAAACCTACGCTGTACACATTTTATTCATACGATAATTTCATAATTCACAATTCTCGTCATTTCCAGCTATTGAAAGTTTCACGTGAAAGACATTAGGCATACATATGTTAGGCATATGGATGATAGACACTCATATGTTAGGCATAATGTATAATTGGCTTAATAGATGGTTGGCATAACGTGCGTTAGCCATAAGGACGGTAGGCATAGTTAATAATTTATGAAAAATTACCAAACTTTATATTCTGTTTGGCTGTTCATTGAAACCCATCTTCATATCCGTTCAAACGAATAAAAATGCATACTTAATTTCCAGAGGGCCGAATAGGTCATTAGAATGAATTGGTCCGTAGGCCGAATGGGTCAGTAGACCGAATTTTGAAAAGTGAAATATTGAATTTAGGTAGGGGAAATGACGGCTTCGGCATGACAGACTATTTTCGGCAACACAAATTGAAACACTATTTTCACTGGATTTTCTTGCGAAAACACTTCGCTGAATGCATGCAAACGATTCTTTATGCTTTCAGCTTCAATTTGACTATATTTTTACCACTTAGAAAAATCAATCTAGCAAGGTTTTCTTGAAATGCAACACACGCACTACAAATTGTAGCTGATTTCGAGTTGCCGATAATAGAACAGCAGATTTACACGCAGTTCAAATGGAACGGTTGCCGAAGAAAAACTGGTTGCCGACAATACTCGCTCTCACTAGAGAAGATTGGAGCTTTGTAAAAGCGTTTCAAAACAGTTTTTGACAATTCTTTCGACTGAAATTGTTAGAGCAGCTGGCAGCAAAAGATTGTAAACAAACCAATACTGCATATGTGTGCGTTCCTTAGAGAAAAAGGCTATAGAAAGAAGGTCGCTGCTTAGGTTGCCGAGAATACGTAAATTCCCCTATTATGTTAGAATATTTTCAATACAAAAAAACTTGACAAAAAATTGATCCCTATCTGAGAAGGGATGATGATGATATTAGAAATCTTGAACTTAAATATATATATTAACTGATTTCTGGAACTTTTAAAAGCTATGAAAATTGAGCATTATTGTAATTAAGGCATATTTCATTAGGCTGCACACATTAATAAATTTATTTATAACCTCTTCTCTTATACTATGTAATATATAATATATAATATACAATATATAATGTATAATATATAATACAGTGGTGACCCAATTTTGTCAGCCCCCGATTTTGTCTACCCCCGATTTTGTCTACCCCCGATTTTGTCTACCCCCGATTTTGTCAGCTTTTCTCCTTCTGGCACAGTTTGGGACTCTTAACCACTAAAACCTTACTCGCCTCTAGCCACTATCCCCCCGGAACTCCCCTAGAGTATTTCGTCGGGGGGGGGGGGGAGGGGCTGTGCTTAAGCACTTCTCTTTAGCTTAGCTAGCCGGCGTTGCTAACTCGCTGATCATCTCTCCATTTTCGCTGCAGCTCCGACAAAATTTGCGTCACTGCCCTGCTGACGACGCTGGACGTCCTCTCATCTCGGCACATTTCACTGACGACATTTCTCGCGCTTAGGGCCGGCATCTCCACTCGCACTGCCTCAAATCTTGGGCAGTCGAAAACCACGTGCTCCGGCGTTTCGTCCACGTTTCCACACTCCGGACAGAGGGGCGACGTTGTGTGTCCAAAGCGATGCAGGTACTTCCTGAAGCAACCATGACCAGACAGGAACTGCGTCAAGTGGAAGTTGACTTCGTCGTTATTGAAGCTTAGCTTGTCATCGAGTATCACTCCAAGATACTTCAGCACGCGCTTTGATGCTATGGCGTTCTCCCCGACGGTAATGTCTGCTCGCTGAACAGCTTTACAGTTATTGACCAATAGCACTTCCGTTTTGTGGTGGGCTATCTGCAGCTTCGCTCCTTGCATCCAGTTGGAAACCGTGTCGATCGCCTCGGTTGCCAGCATTTCCACCTCTTCCAACGTCTCGCCTACTACCGCCAACACGACGTCGTCCGCAAATCCTACGATCTCGACTCCTTTGGGCAGCTTCAGCGGTTAGCACGCCGTTGTACATCGCGTTCCAGAGCGTTGGGCCAAGGATGGAGCCTTGTGGCACACCCGCCGTGCTCCAGATTGATTTCTCTCCCATGTTCGTCTCGTAGACTAGAACCCGGTTCTGGAAGTAACTCCTTATAATGCTACACAGGTAATCAGGAACCCTCATTCCATGCAGTGCTTCGGCGATGGCCTCCCAGCTGGCGCTGTTGAATGCGTTCTTCACGTCGATCGTTATCACGGCGCAGTATCGATCTCCTCTCCGCTTCTGTTTAGACGCTTTCTCGGCACTTTCGACCACTGTCCGAATTGCATCAACCGTTAATCTCCCTTTCCGGAATCCGAACTGCCTCACCGACAATCCATGCTCACTCTTCGTGCATTTCGTTAGCCTGTTTAGGATGATCTTCTCCAATAGCTTTCCGACTGTATCCAGCAAGCATATAGGCCTATACGATACTGGATCCCCCGGCGGTTTTCCGGGTTTCGGCAGCAGCACTAGCTTCTGTATCTTCCATCGGTCCGGGAAGTGACCTTCATCCAGACACTTCTGCAGCACTATCCTGAACATGTCCTTGAACGCCTGGATCGCCGCCTTGGGGATTCCATCCGGACCGGGAGCTTTCTTCGTCTTTAGCCCTTTCACCACTGCTACGAGTTCCTCGTTGAAGACTTGTCTACCTTCGGTGTTGTCTGCCTCTGCCTCGCCGTACGGTGTAGGTGGCCAGGTCATTTGGTCGTGCTTCGGGAAAAGTCCCTCCACGATGGCTTTCAGCTTGTCTGGACACATTTCAACGGGCATCGTTGGACCTCTAATCTTCGCCATCGCGACTCGGTATGCGTCACCCCAGGGGTTGGCATCAGCGTCTCGGCACAGCTCCTTGAAGCAGTTTGACTTGCTCAGCTTTATCTCCCGTTTTAGAGCGGCTTTGGCTGCTTAAAACACCACCCTTCGCTCTGCTCTGTTTGCATCAGTTCTTGCCCGCTGAACGCGCCATCTGGTTCGGAGACAACTAGCGTGGAGCGTGCTAAGTGCCTCGTTCCACCAGTAAGCTGGGCGCCGTCTGTTCCTTGGCTCCTATTTCCTCGGCATGGTTGTGTCGCATGCCCTCGCTAACGATTCGGTCAACTCGTCCGCGCTTTGGTCTGGGACGCTGCTGTCTACCCGGAGAGCTTCTACAAAGAGATCCTTGTCGAATGCCTTCGTCTTCCACCTCCGCTTGCATACTTTCGTTTTCCACATTGCCGTAGGTATCCGTTGGCCAAAGCTGTACCTAATCGCCTGATGGTCACTATGAGTGTACTCCTCACACACTCTCCAGTTCATACTTGCCACTAACGACGGACTGCAGAAAGTGACGTCGATAATGGATTCCCTACCATCTTTGCGGAAGGTGCTGATGGTTCCTTCGTTGGCCAAACTGACGTCCAACTTTACCAGAGCTTCCAGCAGGCTATACCCTCTTGCGTTGGTACATCTGCTTCCCCAGTCCCCAAGCATTGAAATCTTCTTCAATGACGATTGGTCTCACGGGAAAAAAAGAGTTCCCATATTCGTGAACCACAGCCGTGAACCATAGTTCACGGTGTATATTTGAGAAAATTTTGTTCTGGATAGGTGGCCGTGATTTTTAGTTCACGGTCCGTTCCCGTTTTCGGGAACGGATTTTTTTCCGAGCTCCATCCGGTGAGCTCCCCGATGAGTCCATCTAGCATCTGGTGAAAACTGCTCCATTGTCCATCTCGGGGATGCATAGCAACTACATACGAAGGTTCCATTAATTTTGGCGATCACAAAACCTTCGTAAGACCTCGTCACCACTTCTTGTATGGGATACCTGCCCATAACTTGTATTGCCGCCATCCCTGCTTTATCGGCCACCCAGTTATCGTTATCGGGAGGGACTCGATACGGCTCCGCAATCATTGCAACGTCGCACTTTGTTTCCGTTGTCGACTGCCACAACAGTTGCTGTGCTGTGTCACAATGATTGAGATTTATTTGGGTTATCTCCATTACTATTGGCCCGCTATCGCCTTTTTGTAAGCTATGCACTATGCACTATGTATTAGTATTGTTGTTCTTACAGAAAATGCTTAACCACATATGCATTGAGTGGCCATTCAATTCTTACCTAAGTCCATTTAGCCCCCCCCCCCCCCCCTCTACACCATCAATGTAAGAATGTCTTTCCTCATATGACACTTACGAAAAGTTTGAAATTCCAGCTCCCCCCGCCTCCTTCAATGGGCTCGTATATATTGAATGATTCCTAAAACATAAATCTTGCATTATCCAGCAGCATTTAAAGATATTATGTTAAAAAAATTAAGCGCCCGCCAGTTTAAATTCTCTTTTTAAGAGTGCGTTTTGGCGTGTTATTTTTAATAAGCTGAGACAAATAAAATTGAGTTTTTCAGTTATGTAAGTTGTTCATGGTGGGATAAATAATTTTGTTACACAAAA